GGTTCTGGGTCTTTAACTGTATTATCCTCTTACAGTAATCTAGAAGTTTTACAAAGCTTTTTACAATGGATACCATTTAAAACATGTTAAGTCTATCCTTCACAGCCTCGCTGTCATACCTGTCATGGCGCTGCTCTGAGTAAGGTCTAGTTCCCTGTTTTCACCTCATTAATTATGGTGAAGTCAACAGGTTGAGGCAACCGCCAATGCTCTTATTATGGAGAAAACTGATCCTAGACCAGCAGTTATGAACAGTTTTTCTCTCTAAAAACAATCAAAAGCTACAGCAGGCAATGGTTTGAGTGAGAACTCTTCTCCAGCCTTACACACACACACACACACCTCCTATGATTATTTACCTTCGTGTTTTGTTCTTATTCTGTTTACTGACTATTTTATTTTCTGACTATTCATGTTTTAATGAAACTGTTGGCTGACAATAAATCACATTTTTCATTGAAGTCCAGCTTAATTAACCAAGATCCGCTCACTTTAAAGTTTCTGGCCTCCCCACTGCTGTAGATATCTATTCATGTATTCACAAGAAAACCCTGTAATTAGGCTACAATTACATAATAAGGGAGACATGTAAAAAAAAAAAACAATACTGTAACTGTAATCGAGTTGAATCCATATATTATATGTATTATTACTGTGCATTGTTAATTATTATAATAGTGGATTTGGTCCATAACATTGCGGAGATGTGATTTACTGAAAGCGGCCCCTTTAAGAAATATGACACCGCGCGCACTGAGCATGCGCAGAAGAGAGAAGTGCGAGAGCCTCTATAGTTTTGTTTTCTTCCTTCTGTCCCTCTCTCGCTATCTTTTAGTTTTTTTCCTTTGACGCTATTATGAATGTAACAGTTGAACACGTTGTGATCCCTTGTAAGTGTATGTTATGTTAATGTTCTTGTTGCAATAAAAAAGAGAAAATGTAAACATTCGAAGCTGAAAGTGACGCTGTTAACGATCGTGAATGAAGAGCAAATATGAAATATTTTTTTCCAGATGCCGTATATTTCCAGTCTGCAGGTCAGAGATGTTATATTTATCATGTAAGAATTGATGTTTGTGTTACCTAAATTTCGTAGCGTAACGTACAGAGACTTAAATCATTCGTTTTGATTAGATATATGTATATAGGCATATTGTGTATGATTTCTTGTGATGTTATCTTCTTGTGGCTTGTTTCATCCATATAAAATCTAGAGTCACAAATATATAACCATATCAAAATGATCTATATTTCTTAAATCAAGCACATTATGGTCATTTAATTTAAGAAGTGTAATTATTAAACTATTTCAGTATAATTTGAATAACCTTGAATTTGGCAGATCTGGTGTCCCTCAGAACAATTCAACAATTAAGAAAGCTTTAGTTGCAATTGTAATATATGATAAATTTAACTAAATAATGAGCAATATATGATCATTTATTCTGGAAAAAAAAAACACTTAAATGATCATAATCCTGTATAGTACTTGTTATCCACATTTTGATGGTCAAGTGCTGGTTAGATTATTTCCTTTTGTGCCATCATTCTCAGTACCTAAATCAATGGTTGATTTCTGTCATCTAATGTTAGATTTCTTATTTTAGATATTAATTGAATAATAGAATCTGTGCCCTGTTTTATCCTTATTATATGCTGGTATTTTCATACAAATGATCAACCTACAGTTTTTTTATTTGCTGCTAATATGTAACCATCAAAATGCTCTATATTTGAACTAAAACAAAGACACCATATGTGTTTACTGTTAAAGTATTCCAGTATAAATTCAGTAACTTGTAGGCATGTAACGATTCACTGAACTCGCGATGCGATACGATTCACGATACTGGTCTCACGATACGATTTTCTCACGATTTTTTGTACAAAATGAGATTTAAGAAAGATAAATGAAAAACTGTCTTTTATTGTTTCATTCTCACTCAGACAATGTTGCACATTTATTTCTGAAACTGAAATATCTTTGTCAAATAAAACTAAATTGAAATATTAAAACAAATCCCAAATCAAATAAATAATACAAATAAAATACATCTCTTAATATAAACAAACTAAGGCTTTGCTGGTGCTCTTTCCTAGCTTAGAATCTTTTTTTTATTTACATGTTTTTTTTAAGAAATATCAGCATATCCACATTTTCTGGCAGAAGCTGAGATCTCTGCACATTCACAATGTCCCCTGCTGATGAAAAAACCCTTTCACTAGGGACAGAGGTGGCTGGTGTGGAGAGATATGCTTTTGCTATACTGGATAGCAGTGGGTAAAGCCTAGCATTCTCTTTCCACCACTTGAGTGGACAGCTATTGAGGGAAATGGATGTTTCAGCTCTGTACTTATTAATTTCTGCATCAATCTGACTGATGTGCTGTGCAACTGGTTCATCAAAAGTCCCTCCAAGGAGATCTTCCAATGCTGTTTTCTTGGAAGGAGGTTGTTTCAGCTCTGCTCCTGCTCTGTCTGTCTGGTCAAGAGGCTGCTCTGCTGCAGGGGGGTGACCACTGACACCTTCTGTGCCCTCATCCTGCACAGAGGAATAGCAGAAATAAAAAGACTAAGTAAAATCTAAGTACAACATTGACAGGGGTTTCACATTGTTATAAAGGCAAGATTTTAATGTCATTTGTTATAATTTGTATCATTACTCAGAGTTAACACGAACACATTTGGAAACACATTTAGCAATCATAAATCATAATAAACAAATTATTTAAAAAAAATTAATTTAGAGAAAGAGTAAAATAAATACAATACCTGGTTCTGCAACATCAGTACAGCTTTCTGAAGTCTGTGGAATACATCATCGCGTTGGTCTTTATTTAGATGAGGCAGAGCCCGGAATCTGGGGTCTAATGCGGTGCATTCCAGCAGGTGGTTGTACTCTGAAGTGTATCTGTTGTAAAGGTTGTTCAGTATAGCTCTCTTTATGTTGCTCACAGTGGGGGAATCTTCTTCGTTGGATGCCATGTTATGCTCGATCATATGCTTTAAGGGCACAATGAGAGACACAGTGGGGTTTTTTTCGTCACACAGCACAGTGGTGGCCGTTTTGAGTGGCTTTAGAAGCTTCACCATGTCCTCCGCATCACGGATGTCTGAGCCATCCAAAGTATCGATGTCACGGACATTTCGTCGAACGTCGTTGCTCAGGAGAGTTGCTGTCACAGCCGCTTGCTGTTCGAGATAGCGTTCGATCATATCCAGACTGCTGTTCCAGCGCGTAGCGACATCGATGATTAACTTATGCGGTGGAAGCTCCAGTAGTATCTGTTTAGCTGCGAGCGCAGCTGTGGCTGTGGAGCTTCGGTGAAAGAAGGCAGCAATACGCCTCACTCTGCCCAACAAACGGCTCACGCGGGGCACACTCAAACCCGCTTGGCTAGCTAAGTTCAAAGTGTGGGCAAAACACCTGACATGGGGGGCCAGCCCAGCCTCTCTGACAGCAACATCCATATTCCTCGCGTTGTCCGTGACCACAGCAATTCCATGGTTGGCCTTTTGAATCCCCCATTCACTCACAGCTGATTTTAAAACTTCAGCAATATTAGCTCCTGTGTGTGTTTCGAACAATGGGCGAGTTTGGAGAACAAAATTAACCATCTCCCATTCACTGGTTATCACGTGGGCTGTGACCGTAAGATAACTCTGGGTAGCCCTGGAGGTCCAGCCGTCGGTTGTAATTGATACACTATATGCTTTTCTGAGGGTCTCAATTACCTTAGATTTTGTTTCCCTGTAAAGCGCTGGCATGACAGTCTGGCTAAAGTGGGGGCGTGATGGGATGGTGTATTTTGGCTCCAATTTGTTGACGAGTAGCCTAAATCCTTCATTTTCTACGACAGAAAACGGCCTCATATCTTTTGCCATGAAAACACCGATACACCTTGTGATCTCCTTGGCTCTCGCACTCGTTGCCGCGAGTGGGGCTGCAAATCCGCCAGTCAGTGTGGTTTGGCCCACTAACAGTTTTTTAGGTGCAGACGGCGGTGACTGGAGCTTCTCACTATGGTGACGGTTTGTATGCTGCATCATGTTTGTTGTGCTATTGGTGTATATTAAAATCCTCTTGCAGTATCTGCACACAGTTTTTGTTTTGTCCGTTACCACCTCTCCGCTTTCATTTTTAGTCTTCGCAAAGCCAAAATGCCGCCACACGTCCGATTTGAATGAGGTTGGGGCATCCGCAATATCAACGTCTACACTTGCCGCCGCCATTATTGCTACTGTTTAAAGCTACAGTCAGCTTGTTCGCTGCTATCGCACTTCGCGCCTGTAAAGCGAGGTCAAAATACTGCTTCAGCGCCCCCTGCTGTTTAAAACGTGTATCGCGATTCGTTTAACATCTCAACCGACTTGAATCGTGACACATGTGTATCGATTTTCAACCGGTTGCGAGTGAATCGTTACATCCCTAGTAACTTGTCTTTGATTTTTCCAGATCTGGTCCTGTGGGCGTCAGTATCACACAGTGATCACAGTTCACACCTGCAGTGAAGCCCCTCCCACAACAATTCACCAATAAATACTGGGAATATTCCCATCATCCTACAAGAGAAGGACAAACTCCAGGAGTAGCAGCTGAAATCTGTGTGACTGTTAAAGATGGAGTTTATTAAAGAGGAGATTGAGTTTATTAAAGAGGAGATTGAGTTTATTAAAGAGGAGATTGAAAACATGAGTGATCCAGAACCATCCAGAATAAAACATGATACTGAGGAACAAATAGGTTGGTGTCCATTCTTGATTCTTCATTGTTGACTGCTTTCGTAGCTCTGAAATATGGATGACAAATGATAGAGAAATGCATCTAAATGATCATAAGCCACTTTTAATCGCATTAACAAGTGAATGATAGAACCGAACTTTGCACATTAAAGATACTTTATACAGACAGGTGTCTTGTTTTCTGCTTGCTAAGTGTTTTTAATTCTCACATTTAACCTCATTGAACTGATTCTAACTGATTAATATGTTTATTTTAGTCCAGATGGAAGTGAAGGAGGCGAGACAGAAACTAAATGACGTAAAGAAACACTGCGACTTCAAAACTCGAGGAACAAAAGCCAAAAAACTGCACTCCTGCTCTCAGTGTGGAAAGAGTTTCCAAAAGAAAGGAAACCTTACGAGACATATGAGAATTCACACTGGAGAGAAACCGTATCCATGCACTCAGTGTGAGAAGAGTTTTACTCAAGCATCAGCTCTCAATCTTCATCTGCTCTGTCACTCTGGGGAAAAACCATTCAACTGTGATCAGTGTGGTAAAGGTTTTAATTTGTCATCAAATCTTAAAAAACACCTGATCGTTCATTCAGATGAGAGGCCTTATGTGTGTTCTCTCTGTGGAAAGAGTTTTTCACGACTGTACAGTTTTAAACTGCACCAGAAAACACACGATGAAGTGAGAGATCATGTGTGTTGTGACTGTGGGAAGAGCTTTGCTGCATCTGGTGAACTGAAACAGCACCAAAGAATTCATACTGGAGAAAAACCTTACAAGTGCTCATATTGTGACAAGAGTTTCACTCAGTTGGGAACACTGAATTCACATGAGCGAGTTCATACTGGAGAAAAACCTTACAAGTGCTCATACTGTGACAAGAATTTCACTCAGTCTGGACACCTGAAACTACATGAGCGAGTTCATACTGGAGAAAAGCCGTACTGCTGTACTACGTGTGAAAAGAGTTTTAAATGTTTATCAACCCTTCAAACTCATATGAAAAAATGTTTCAAGTGATCAACATTAGTTTTCATGTCAAACACGTTAAAGTAAATTGAGTAAATTCATATGGATTCTTTTTTTAAATCTCTGTATGAACTTTTTTGAAGCCATGAAGTGGTTATTGCAGCTGTTAATGGAGGGACAGAAAGCTCTCAGATGTCATTCAAGCCGGATAATAAAAGTTGTGGGGCAGTGGTGATAAGTATCTGTATAAGTAAGGAATAATTGACGACAGGCCTTTGAATTATTAGAAAATAATGCACACCTTAGCTGTTAATGTTATTTAATGCTGTTTACATTATTTTTTAATGATTCAATGGACTGGAGTCAAATATTCTGCTTATACTATAGTTACAACGCCTCAAGACATTTGTCAGGTTGTTTTCCGATTAAAGAGATAGTTCACACAAAGCTGAAAATTAGCCCATGATTTACTCACCCCAGACCTGCAAACTTGTCGCTTTTCGGCGATAATCGCCGTTTTCTTGGTCAATTGGGTCATTCACGTGAATCGCGTAGAACCGGAGAGTTGGCTGAATTGCGAGAATTCTAGAATTGCGAGAATTCTAGAATTGCGAAACATTATTGGATAATTCTTATAATTGACATTTCTCTGGGCCAATCGGAATCTTAGTACTTTTTCTCTTGGCCAATCGGAATCTTAGCACTTGCGTCAGAATCGCCATTGGATGAGACACCTGGCTACCACGCGAGTCTGATGGAAACTCATAACGTGAAGGAATCTTATGAGAAATTCGAGGTAAATCAAGCTTTTTTGGAGCAAAAACAACAGCTAGTTGTTTGCTTGATTCAATTAACGTTAGCTACCGCTTTGTTATGCTGCGCTCGTGACAGGGCGCTGAAAGAACGAGAGCCGGTCGCGCGCGCACTCTGTATTCAAACTGCCTTGCTCTCCCTCCATCGCGCATATTAATCAAAATCTATTGAGAATTGACACGATAGTAAAAGATCAAAAGACCAAAGTTTCACGTGGAGCATTTTCAGAGATTTTTTTCCTGAATTACCGCTGGGTGTGAATTGTAGCCTACTAAAATTGCCCTATCCTCTCTGAAAAGCGTTCCGCACATTCAGCTGACATAAACCACATTTTCAATAAACGAAAAACCTATCCAGTGATTAAATGTTTTCTGTGTTGACACAAATCTTTTTGAATGGTTTGAATGATTTACTTTTATGAATGGTTAAAATAACTGATCTGTCCAACATCTGTCTCTTCAAAAGAGATCTGAATCGGTGTATAACAAATCGATAACACCAAACTAGTTAATATTAACTATTCATAAACTGCACTTCTTAATCTTTATAAATAAATAGCATTTATTAATCTTTGGTAATGTTAATTTTACTATTTACTAGTAGTCTTATTACAGTTAAAAGTTCTATTTGTTAACATTAGTTAGCCTAATGCACTGTGAAGTAATATGAACAAACAACGAACAGGAGAACTCCGGTCAATTTTAACATTGAGCTCAGTTTTTTGTACATTTGGAGTGCTGTGAGTACAGACAAAAACGACAAAAATCGGTGTTGCCTACACCGTGTTATTCTCTTTTTAAAATTCGCACCCTGTTGACTTCAATGGGGCAAGTTCTAAACCTGCTTTTAGCCTCTTAACAACCTTAATGTGTCATTACAAGTGCACAGGGGATTGTTGAGGTCGCGCGCGCGATCATTGGTAACTAATATAACTAATGACAACATGTAACTGTAACTGTAACAACATGTAACTGTGTAACCACACCCTAGCAACCGTTTAAAGCTACCTAGCAACCACATTGCAACATATAGAAGCCATATTGCAGCTCCACAACATCGTTAAGACATTGTTGTTGGCTCGTATGCAATCATGTACAACATTGTAGCAACTCTCCTAGCAACCGAGCGGCGAGCCACTGCAAGCACCCCCCCCCCCCCCCCCCCCCCCCCCCCCCCCCCCTACCCTAAGTTGACCAAACTTGCTCGGAAGTATCTTTGTATACCTGTGACTAGTTCACCCTCAGAGAGGCTCTTCGGCACTTCAGGGAATGTGGTAACATGTCTATGTACATGTTTGAAACCTAGCAAAGTTAACATGCTGGTTTTCTTGGCCAAGAACTTGCCCTAAAGAGATAACCAAGGCAGTAACTTGCCCTAATGTGCCCTATATTCGGTACAGGCATCAGAACCGGGACTCCTCGCCGCATATCATTTGTGTGTGTGACGGAGGAATTCCTGCTGCTGTTTTGACTCCTTCACATTTGATAAGCTCTTCACGAGTTCTCAGCTGGTTAAAATACCATATGTAAGCTACGCACATACAACAAGAGCATTCAACCCAGAAAACAGCATTGTTTTGGATATTCGGTAAGTACCATATCAAAATAGGCAATACATCATCAAAGCCGACCAATCAGGTTGCGATAGTATTCCTTTGCCTTTGGGTTAGGTATATTTACATTATTTGTGTTATTTATTTATTTATTTATTGGTCCGGACCAAACAAACCAAGCGAACCGAACTACAAGTGTGAAAATTTTTCACCCTCATCATTCAAGTAATTTCATTCATTTGAGCTGAAATTGCTAGCTAACCATTACCATCCATCCATCCATCCATCTTCTTCCGCTTCAGGGCCGGGTCGCGGGGGCAGCAGTCTAAGCAGAGATGCCCAGACTTCCCTTTCCCTAGACACTTCCTCCAGCTCTTCCGGGGGGACACCGAGGCGTTCCCAGGCCAGCCGGGAGACATAGTCCCTCCTGCGTGTCCTAGGTCTTCCCCGGGATCTCCTCCCAGTGGGGTTAAGTTACCATTAGCTAACTCACACTCCAACTGAAAATAACGAAGCAATCACCAACAGAAAGACCTATTTATAATTTATTTTATTAAAATCTCACCTTGATTTTACTTGTGCAGTTTTCCACCGTCAAACCTCCAACCAACAGTCCTCTGATGGCCCGTCTTTTGGCCGCCAAGTTTCAGAGGGGTTTGGCCACTTTTTTAGCTGGCCAGGCTGATTTTAAAGGGGTCATCGGGTGCAAAATTCACTTTTATATGGTGTTTGCATATAAATGTGTGTTTTCAGTATGTGGACGTTACACTTTTAAGAAGGATGCGATGTCACTTCTTGGGGCAACACATTTATTTCTGTTCAAAGGTCAAACAAGGAATGGTTTTCATTGCATGTACACTGCACTTCATCACGTACTGAATGCTACTTTTATTCTGTTATTCAGCTACTGATGCATAGTGTAATGCTTGGGTGTCCCCTGCTAATGAGTAAATGTCACAATAATGTCTTTACCAAGGTAAAAATTTAAAGGGGGTGCAATTTTTATTCCCCTTTTAATGTCCCCTTTGAAATCCTCATTGCTACAGACACAACCACCATACAATGAAAAAAATCCATTCACTCCTTTTTTTTAATCCTCAAAAAGTCTAAACACTCTCAATAATCAAGCCATTTGGGTTTTCTGAGCAAAATGACATCAATTTCATTGTATGGCTCCACCCATGACCGTTGACAGACTGGCCCGTATTAGCATATTTCCCATTATACCATATTTCTGGCCTCAGCCATTTGTATACTGTCTGCCAAGGCAGGTTGCCAAGGTAGTACTATACTTCTCCTGTGTCGACACACCCCACGTAAGAGAGGGGTGAGCAAGTTGCTCATTATTAAAGAGACATGCACCAAACGAGTCGCTGTGAACAGACCTGATTTTCAGGTGGTAAAAAGGGTGTTGTTTTACACAACCATTGAGGAATTTTGACCAAATTATGTTACAATCTTTACATGAAGACCCTAAAGAACCATACCGATTTGGGCATCCAATGACCCCTTTAAGCTACTTCTAGCTTAAACCAGCCAACCAGCCTTTAAAAAAAAAAAAAAAAATGGGCCTATATATCTAAATTAATCAGTTTCAAAGGTGCTGATATATTTGTCAAATGGGGTCCAACTTGGGTTTAATGTATTTGTGTAAACATACTTATCATACTTATCTTACTCATACTTATCTTATGTTTTAAGATAACTGGACCACATTTGCTGCAACATGTGTGGGCCACATTTGGTTTATACCCAGATTAGCTAGATTGTGCCACATTTTTGCCAAAGGTGGCCAACATTTGTTTTCTGATATTTGGGCCATATTCATTATTTATCATACGGGCCACTTTAGACTCACATTCAGATTACACATAGCCGTGTGTAAAGCCCCGTACACACCGGGACGAATATCGGCGCGCGTTATTCGTCAGCGTTTTTCAACGAGTTTTTTGTGTTCACACCCAAGCGATTTTCGCTGACGTTGAGCCGAGTGAACATGCAAATTCATTCCCTGACATTAGATGGCGCTTAATGTAAAACAGAAATAGTCCTATTTTGTAGTCGCTGTCGCATTTGTCATATAGTTCTTTATGTTCCGACACCAACTAGACCAGCAGCTCTACATTCATCTTGCCTTGCATCTTCCTCGTCTTATTTCTTCCCGACAGTGTAGACCATAGATATCCATAATAAAGGCCATTGGCCAGCAGCGCGGACGAGACATCTAGCCTTTATTATGGATATCTATGGTGTGTAGACGCTACTTGGCGCATCTTCTTCGCCGTTACATTTGTGTGCTCGACACGACCGTTTTGTGTTTGAGCGCCCCCAAGTTGTGTTTTACTGTAACTTCAGAAGCTCCAGACACGTGAGCAAAAGCGGCAATCTCATTGGTCGGATAGTTTTTGACGCGGCGCGTCAAACCAAAAAAACGAACCCGAGGCTTTTTTTTAAAAATGACGCTTTTACGCGTGGCGTTTTTCGCGTCGGTGTGCACACTCACATAGGCGCCCTTTGTTTAGTCACGAGGCGTTAAACGTCGGCGAATAACGCCCGCGAAATTCGTCCCGGTGTGAACAGGCCTTAAGGCTATGTCTTTTTAGGCATATTTGCTTAAAAAGGCCTGCGTGTGATTTAAAATATTTGAGCCATATTTACCATGTTACACTTTGTCCATAAGAAGGCCTACAGTGATGCATCATTGCCATCATTA